GCAACTATGCGCGATCTTCAACAAACGTTTTGTTTATTTGTTTACATTACGATGTTTATGTTTTTTCTGCAAGATATTTTTGGCGGAAACGGTAGAGCAATGCGGATTGCGGAAGTTGAAAATTTTATGAAATGACATGTTTGCGAAGTGCAAACCGCGATTTTTTAATCAAACAAAAATTTATGACATTCGAGCCGCGAGATTTCATACCTACTGAAATTATATGATATTAGAGCCGCGATATTTCAGACATTAATAGGACTTTTCCAGACTAGACCTAACCTAACCTAACTGGCTAACCCTTTTGCGGAAAGGTGGAGAGAAGGGGGTAAGTGTGGAGGAAGAAGATGCTGATGAGCGTCAGGGCTGGGGGCTGGGCTTATGCCTGCGAAGTGGGTAAGGTGATGTGACAGTCCGGTGCAGCCGTGCAGGGCCGTTCCTATTTACTTTTAAAGCAGTGACTCAGTCTGAGTCTGGTATGGTCTGCGGACCCTATGGCTCAGGCTTACGGCATTTGTAAGAAGTGATGGTATGTTCTTAAATCATTTGTCTAGGAGCTATTGGGCATAATCCGTTTGGAGTATCAGCTTGTGGGCTGAGGCATTGCTTGTTTCAAGCTGGTGTGGCGAGATGAGGCAAGTAAGAACAGCTGCATAGGTGTTAGACTGACTATTTCTATTGCATGTAGTGTTGTAGAGGGTTGGCATTGGCTCTTGGGCTGATTTAAGAGTCAAATTTTTGGGCTACGGCAGCGCTCCCCACCAATCAGCCTTGAAAAGAACGTCTAGCATATTTCCGGTAAAATTCCGGATAACCACCAATCAGCTGTGGATTAAGCCATCTGTCAGTAACCAGCCAGTGACATCATCTTGCTTTAATCATCTTGGTTAGTGAAACAAAATTTCATCTTGGTTAGTGAAATTTTTTTGCTTTGTAAAGTAGGTACGTAAATGTGATCAAAATGTTTTGTTGGTAATTATTTTTTTGTTAACTGGACCTTATAGGCCTACTAATCTAAGTTCTACTGTAAATGCATTTTTAGGGATGCGGATGTCCCTCAATCAGACCCTCATTACCTCTGTCTTGCACTTGCAGAACTGGCCACCATTTTTGGGGGGGGGATGAGATACACAAATTCAGTCAATCACATTTTTAAGCCAACATCTGTGTGCAACTATTATGCAAGTAAAACTTTTTAATAAGGCAAAAATTTTTTTACGGTAGACCTTAGCAGAGTTACTTCTCCAGAATCTCGCTTTTCACACTTTTTTCAGGGATTTTTAGGAGATAGTAAATGTGTGATTTCTTAACATGCTATATGCTACATTGATAGTAAAAATATTGAGCTTTATTCCACTATTTTTAGTTTTGCAATATTTTGATTAGTTTAGCTGCTAAGGCCTACCACATTTCTACAAAATGTGGGATGATTGTCCCGATTTACCCCGCTTGTCTCTCATTACCCTGTTTGATGGTACTCTCGACTTGTTTGGGAAGTTTGGACTGCCTTGGGAGTTGGGCCTTGGTGGGTTGTTTGTGCATTTACTCTCAAACTCATTTTTTTCATAGTAAAGTGTGAGGTAAGAGTTTTTACTATTGCATGCATAAATTTACACTGATATGCAAATGCTCATTTGTCAATCAGAATCATTCTATCAACCCTATTGGATAAGTTGTTTTGCTTTGCGCCATGGCCTGGCCCTGGATGATGGATCCTGGTCACTGGAGCCTGGAGGTACTGGCTGATGTGTCTCTAACAAAAAATGATGCACGAAGTTTTATTATATGGCAATGCTTTCCAGTATCTGGAGATATTATACCTTAAGACCATTTTTTGACTCAGGTTTTGGGTATATTCCTAGGTTATATATAGGTACATATACTTGAGCTGCACGGCAGCTTTGATACCGTCAACCGGGGCTACTCGGGACGGTTTTGAGCGTTTTTTGTTAATAACTTCTTACGATGAAACATTTCATAAACAAGTTTAGGCTCATTTTATAGCTCTTTGCGAGGGCTATCGAATGGCATCTTCAAAAAAATTCCATATGCTATTCGTAAGGTGCCAGTTTTTTTTTTTGGAATGAGATAGGCAAAATCTGCCAATTACGTTTTCAAGCCGACACCTGGGTGCAACTTTTATGTAAGTAAAATTTTTTAATACGGCGAATATTTTTTTTGCTACAGACCTTAGCAGAAGTAACTTTTCAAAACAGTGTTTTTCACCATTTTTTTCAGGAATTTTTCAAAGCTAGTAAATGTCGTATTTTTCGACTGCCTTTATACTACATAGATAGGAAAAATGTTGACGTTTACGCCACTATATTTAGTTTTGCAATATTCCGATTAGTTTTGCTACTATAACAGTTTTACGCCGTGTCGGAGGTGCGTCCCGAGTTGCCCCGCCAGTCCCGAGTTGCCCCGGTTGACGGTACACAGTGGCTCTGATATCTGTGATAAGGTTCTCAGTATCTCAGATAAAGCTCTTGCTTTTATTTCTTGCCCCAGATATCCTCACTGCTTTTAAAACATTTAGTATTCAAATTTATTTCTGTGTTCTGCATCTTTAGGTTTCCCATTATATATTTTTATAACTTACCACTGGCAGCTGTATTTATTAATTATTTCAGTGAATCAAAGCTTATAATTTTAGTGGGTAAACATGCCTAGTGAAATAACTACAGTGAGTGCTCCAGACACAAATGTCCCACATGCCGGGAGCACAGAAGTGGACTCCTGCAGGCGTTTCAAAATTCGACATAACATGGGAGCTATAAAATCAGCACAAGCTGTGGTTTTAGCAGCTGGCTCAGGTTCCAGGATGACAACACTTGTGAACAATACTCCCAAATGTTTCTTACCTATTGCATCCATCCCAATGCTGTACTATCCACTATACATGCTTCAGTCCTCTGGTTTTGAAGGTTAGTCTAATACAAAATCTACTATTTTGAATTATTATGCCAAACCTTTGAATATTATAATTAAAGTACGGTATCTGAAAGATATTGCTTGTCATTTTGTTTGTTTCATGTACATTACTAAAAAAATTAAAGCAAGACCTTATTTGTTTATTATAAGTGTGTGTTTTTTCCCCTGTTCAAGTAAAATTTTTTATCATACAATTAAGGTACTTTTTGTGTTGCAGAATGCATAGTTGTGGTGGACTCAAGTCAAGTGTCAGCAGTTTCTGACATGGCACAGGAACTCGGTCTCACAATCAAGCTCAGACTCTTCTCTGATTCTGAAGAGGACAGAGGAACTTTAGACTCATTGCGCCACATTGCTGATGCTTTCGAGGTTGAGTGATGCTTTCTTATGCTTCATGATGCTTTTGTAATTAAATGGAGGTTACATATTTCTAAGTAATTAGTTTTATATTTCCAAAATTAAAACGGATATATCTTTTGAGGTTTTTGTCTGGCAAGTATCAATTACACAGAGCTTCTCTTATCTCTTCTTCACAAAGTTTCTTCATTTTTTGTCTACAGAGCTTTTCTCGTAGGGAGTTCATTTTGATTGTTTAGGAAGGTAGCATTTTGTGTTCTGTTTTTTTTTTTATAAAAAAACTATATTTGACAGCAATGAATTCAGCAGTATTTATTACCTAATGTCAGTTCAGTTGTTGTAAATCACTGATTACTGGTTTCTGATTGCTGCAGCTTACCTCACATGCTCTCCATTCAATGTATGGGAAGCTGTATTTCATGTTTGCCTCTGCAATAACAGGAGGACGTGGAGGACATGCTCATCGTGAGCAGTGACCTGGTGTCAGACATTAACATGGAGGACATGCTGCTGACTCACCGTTACCAGGGAGCTGCCCTCACCGTCCTCACCACTCGCCTCAATAAAGAGGCCTTCACTGACGTTCCTGGCCTCAAGTCAAGGAGTAACATAGGTCAGGTGGCTTTTCACTGCTCATGAAAGCATGTAGCTAAAACGGATATTTTTATCCCAGTTTTCCATGATTTTATCCATCTGAACGACATATCATTTTCTTGGACAAACATGGTGCATAATGTTTCAACAATTCTTATTTTAATGGCGTTTTACCAGTTGTTTCATGAATCAAAATTTTAACTATATTAAGGAAGAGACCAGCAGAGCATGCACTAAAGAGTCCTAACTGAGCTTGTATGGCCCCAGTCCCAGCTAATCTCGTGCTCTTTCAGGACCTGATCTGGTGCTGGAGAGCGTCACGGAGAAGCGTCTGGTGGGGAGCGTGTGTGGGGGGGACTACGATGAACACGTCACGCTGCCCCACCACGTCACCCGACTGGGGGCCGTCACCGTTGCCATGGACATCGTCGACGCCCATGCTTACGTCATCAGCGGCAAGCTCTTCAGGGAATATATCCTCAGTGACAAGTCAGGCTTCCGCCATACTTTGTGATAGTTGTTTGTGCCTTATTCATTGTTTGTGGAATTCAGATAATTTCTTAGGTACTGTGTTGAGTATTGGGAATGACTTTCTGCAATCTTGGATTATAAATGATTACCTTGTTCTTTATATGTGAGCTTTTCTGCATTTGTATTAATTTAATTTCAGAACATAAAAGGTACATTGCATGTAGAGGTTCTAGATGCTCTTTTTTACGCTCCTTATCATCAGATATTAGTTAATACCAATTCTTTTGCATGCAGAATTAATATAATTTAACATCAAGCTTTTCTCCCACCGCAGGTTCCACAAAAATCACAATGTTGATCTATACTTCGTACAAGATCTCTATATGGCAGATTTCAGTTATCTAACGAGAATGAACAAATTGCAACGCTTTAACTCCTTATTATTACCACGTTTTTCTTAGCTCGCTTTCGTGTCTGTGATGATCAAATTTTCATGCCACCTGCATGACGTTCTCTTCATGCCAACTGCATGACGTTCCCTTCATGCCACCGGCATGATGTTCCCTTCATGCCACCTTCATGACACTCCCTTCATGCCACTAGAGAACGTTTACGTATCGCTGCTCCTGTGATTTTTCTAAATTTTCAATTACCTTTGCTCTAATCTCATGCCATTTTCATAGGCAAGCTAAAGTGGTAGTAACTCTTTCAAGTTGCGGTAGCCAAGTTTTTCAAGCTTGTTTCCCCTCAGGGGGGACTTCCGACGCGTGTCTATGCTCGTCAGAAGTCCTATGGGATTTCGCGTTCCTAGGGGGATTGTTCCTGAGCGCCCCACCGCTGAGCTCGCGGTGTCTGACTGTAGGTCTCAGTTGTGGGGTTAAGTTATTATGTAGGCAGAATTCCTTACATTTCCCTTCTCTGTCTCTCTCGTGCGGGCGGCCGACGTCCCGTGTAAGCGACCTCTTGTTCGAGTGTCTTAGTTTCTGTTGCTTTTCACCTGTCCCTCCTTGTCACTTCGTCTCTTTGAGATGCTAACGCTGCTTCCTTCGAGCCAGCTTCAGCGGGCTGGACATCTGAGATGAATATCCCCTTGTGGACATCCCCTTGTGGGTGATGAATAATTGAGACCTTCCACCTCTATGGTGATGTTCATCTTGACTTTCGGTGCGAGATAGCTAAATAGCTGAAGCGCTAGTAAACATTTGGCCACTAAACTAAACTAAACTCAAGCTTGTTTTGTCTACCTTCTTTTTTTGGGATCCAATAAATTGTTTTAATACAGTTGAGTTCCTTTGACCATCACAAATTTTTGCAATGGTCTCAACATTTAATGATTCCTTGATAGTTAAAAAACATTTTTAGTGCTAGGAGTGGGTTTAAAAATTATTCATTATTAAAAAACCATGGTACGCTTTGTATTATGGAGTCAGACTCTTATATAAGAAATAAATTCACATAGAGAAATTTCGTTATTGTGGTTTCTGATTGCCATGAATTTTCCATTTCTTAGAGATAGTTTTATTTCTGGAGTACCTAATGAATTTTATTTATGTCATCATATCGTTGAAAAAAAATGAAATCAGCGTTAAATTCAAAGTACCAGATTAACAGAACTAACGAGATTTTCTTTTCTACATCGCAGGAACGAACGTCATAATGTTTTCATGTAAATTAAATTGGCTTTGTATTGCAGAGTACGAGCGTGCAGTGTCGTCCATTCTGGAGCCGTTCGCCTCCCTAGCGCTGTCCCGTAACCGCAGCGCCATTCAGGGCCGCCACTCGCAGTGCTGGCCCCACAGTGCCGGCGGCCGCGCCTGCTACGCCTACATGTACACAGAGGGCGTCTGTGTGAGGGCGAACACCATCCCTGCTTACTGGTACCTCAACACCAAGGTAGTGATACTATCTCTGCGTACTGGCTTAATAATACAAAGATAGAGAGCTTATTTCTTCTTCATCTGAGCTTCGATTTTGCTTGAAATTTCTCTGTGAACTAGTGCAATACATCGTACCATGACTGCACTTGGTTAAGTAACTCCTACCGATACAACACATCGTACCAAGACTGCACTTGGTAAGTAACTCCTACCAATACAACACATTGTAGAAAGACTGCACTTGGTAAGTAACTCCTACCAATACAACACATTGTATACAAGGCACGAAATGGAAAAGAATCGGCGACAGGCCACATCAGGCCTACACTTCAGAGCCGACATCACTATGTTATGTTATGTTATGTTATAGCCTGAAATTTCTAGCCGTTTATTCATTGTTTAGTTATTTCAACGTTCATTTTGCCTGTCATTTTGCAATTGAACGACTAAACCATAGCCTGCGGGTATGGCTGTACGATTAAAGTTACTTATACGGTTAAATAAAACAGTTTTTTCGGTCTCTCTTTCTTCTTGCTTTTACATTACCGAAAAACTCGGTATAAAAATTGAAATAATGTCTCGCGAAATTTTTAGTTCCAAAATGTAATGTATCCGTTATAAATTTTACAATGTAAATGATTTCAGATGTTAGTTTCGAAGTATTGAAGCCTTGTCAATCGGGTATCTAACATACCTCATGCGTAAAATCTTCCATGTTATCATGTGTGTTATAACATCACATCCCTCATGTTTAACATCGTTCATGTTATCATCAGGTCTAGGTATATAACATCACATCATCTAGATGTGTATAAGAGACAGCTCCTACCAATACAACACATTGTAGAAAGACTGCACTTGGTAAGTAACTCCTACCAATACAACACATTGTAGAAAGACTGCACTTGGTAAGTAACTCCTACCAATACAACACATTGTACAAAGACTGCACTTGGTTAGTAACTCCTACCAATACAACACATTGTACCAAGACTGCACTTGGTGAGTAACTCAAACGCTTTGGATTATGCTAGAACATGGTGTCATTGCCTCGAATGCCTCATATTTCTAAAGAATTTTTCATGGACGTTTTCGAAACTATGATGAAGTCAAGTGCACTGATTAGGGTAGGGGCTCCAAAAATGTTTCCCGCGCGTGATCCAATTACCAGAAAAGCTTTCATTCCCTATCAACTATTTAGTTAACATTCATGTGCAAGACTACTAAACAAGTAGTCTTTTAATACTTAGAATTTTTTTTTTCAACTGCCATTATCACGTGATGATGAATGGGAGGTTCGAAAACCCCAGTTGATCCCAAGTTTAGAATGAGTGCAGTTGAGTAACTGCTGATTTCACTCGTCCTCTCAGAAGCTCTTGAGGGCCAACATGATGACTAATCGGCAGCCATGTTTCGGTTTTCTTTCCTTTATTCCCGTGACTGGCAGCTGTTCTAGTGCTCGGCTTGATGTAATGTCCTGACTCCAGATTCCGGCCGTGCTGTCCGTGTTGTGCCCAGAGTGCCCCGTGCGGGTGGGCGACTACAGCACCAGCGAGCTTCAGCCCAAGGCCGTCGTGAGTATCTGGCTGATTTCATGAATAAATATTGCTGCATTACCATTGCACGCATCTGCATCCACTAACCACTTTTTGTGCGCAAAACATTCACGTTTTTTCTGTAACTCATCACTCCACATTATTTTCAAAGCTGGTTGCTCGCGTTCTGCACTGCTGAAAATGGTAATATTGTGTTGCAGGTGAAGGGCAACACGCTGCTAGGCAGGGGCTGCAGGCTCAGCGACCGCACCACCGTCGCCGACTCGTGCCTCGGCCGCAACTGCAGCGTCGCGCCAGGCTGCCGCGTCACCAACTCCGTCCTGCTCGACGACGTCGCCCTCGAACCAGGGTGAGGTTTGGTTCTTGGATCAGGGTGAGGTGTGGTCCTTGAACCGGGGTGGGGTGTGGTCCTCGAAACAGAGTGAGGTGTGGTCCTCGGACCGGGGTGAGGTGCGGTCCTCGGACCGGGGTGAGGTGCGGTCTTGGGGCCAGGGCGAGGTAAGGGTGACGAAGCAAGGTGAGATGCGACTGCTGGGCCCTCGGACCAAGCTGAGTCATGACCACACGTTGTTTTTTTTCTGGCGCCGACGGTCATGCTCTCTCGGGGCGATGCAGCGGTGATGGACGAGAGGCAGGCACCGGAAGAAGGGGGAGATGGACGAAGACAGAGAGGGTGGCCAGGAATGCTGCAGCCTCCACGAGACTGTCCCACAGTGAGGAGACGCTGAGGGGTGTGGGGAAGGAGGGGCTGGCAAAAAGATGCTGGTCGGGCTAGATGGGGTCCTTGCACTCGGGGCAGGCGGCGCTGGGAGAGCGTCCGACCCTAAAAGTGCAGGACGCCAGTGAACTTCAGTAGCGCGAACGGAGCTGGGATAGCGCCGATCGATAGGAGTGTGGGAGCGAGGCCTCTTCTGATGCAATCGGTGAAGGAGGGGTCGTAAGAACAGCGTTGTTCTCGGCGGACGCCGCGTTAGGAAGAGATTTACCTTGGGAGAGATCTCCCTTAGCCTCTCCATAGGCGCCGGCGGGTATGATGAAGTTCGTCAGGTAGGCGCAATAAGGTGGCAGAATCTCGACATATGGGAGGCTTTCATTGAACAGACCCCAAGAGGGGGACAGGCAGTGTGAAAAGAAGTATGGAAGGGCTGGAGGGCACTGGCATGGAACTCGGCACATGCCAGGTCCAGGTGAGCGGGCAGGAGAAGGACGCAGGTCTCTTTGCGGAGATGGGCAATTGGGCCCATTTTATGGCAGCCGATGGCTAATCTCAAAGCCGTGTTTAAGATAGTTTGGAGGCGATAATTTGGATAGTTTACGTGAGGCGACTGGGCGCCTGATGGGAGCAGCGGAGTTGATTGAGCGCTTCATTGTACGGTGGGTGGCGATGATGTCCTACTTCGAGAAGCCCCAGTTGGTGCAACCTTGGCTTGTAGGATTCGTAGAGAGCCCGTTGCTTCTGGAACTCTGGCTCTGACGTGAGGTGAAAACTTGTAATGGGTGTCCAAGGTGACGCCTAGGATTTGAGAGTTTTATCTAGAGAGGTGATACCTTGGCATTTTGTGGCGAAAGGGCGCGTGCGGAATTGATGGGTATCTGGGGTGAAGAGCGTGACGGACGACTTGCCGACACCACGGCCAGTTTCATGGAGGCAGACCAGTCGAAGACGCCCCAGGGGAGCCCAGCGAGGTCAGCCTTTGCAGTATCAATCCTCGGAAAAAACACGAAAATCGTGAGGTCGTCCGTGTATTAGGCAATATTGGAGACTTCTCCAATATTGAATGTCGGAGATGAAATAAGTAAAAAGGGCAGGGAAGATTACCGAACCTTGGGGAACTCCTGTATGAATTGTTCTGAAGGGGTAGAGCGAGAGGGAGCGGGATCTAGCAGAGAGTCATGTCAGCCCAGCTGCACGAGAGATGGAGGGAGCGCACTCCGAAGCACTGCTTGTGGGGCCAGGTGTTGCACCTGGAGCACAGGAACGAGTATCCCCGCCATGTCACCAGGAGGCAGACTGAGCAAGGGTACGGGACGGAGATGGGATGGAGACCCCGGGCTAGGAGGAGAAGAGCGAGCAGGAAGAAGAGTTGAGAGAAGGGTAGGGCATAAGGTGCTCCATGGAGGGTCAGCGACCTAAAACGTGGGTAGGAGGAGGCCGACGTTCGCCGCATCTTATATGAAAAAAATTGAGCCTTCGTCCGGCGGGCGATACTTGCGAGTCCTATGCCACTTAGCCTGTCTCACGGAGTAGGCCAGGCGAGCCCGGCCGACAGCGCCGGTCAGGGTTCCCCCATGACGAAGACGCGGCAGAGTTGATGGCCCCGTAGTTTACACGTAGTCTGATAATTCTGGTACTTGTTGCGTGGTTGCTGATGCTTTAGTTTTGCGTGTTCACGCACGATAAAATTTAGAGCCGATCATTGAACATAATTTTCCTCACACCAATTTAATTCAAATGCTACAAATATCATTTCTGATGTGTAAAGTTTCATAGCAACTGTTTGTGGTGCCTGCCTCGAGTTTGACGTGCGCGTGGAGCCGTATTTGTCATTCTTTGTGGTATTTATGCAGTTTTTGTGGCACTTTGTCATGAATTTCATTATGCTCTTGGTTGCTTACAGTGTCATTCATAAATCAGAGCTTCGGCTCTGATTTATAAATGACAATTCAATTTCTTTTTCTTTCCATTGTTTCGTTTTTTTTTTCTTGGTTATTCCTCTTCATTCTCGTCCCGCCTCATTTCACAGCTTTATTAGTGTTATTGCTGCACCATATTTAAGTACCAATTGAATAGAGTTTGATTATCGTCTGTTGGCACAGGACCATCTTGGACGGCAGCATCGTTAGCTGCACAATTGATAAGGAAAAGTGCACCATCAAGAAGAGCATCGTGGCTTCAGCACGCACTCTGCACGCGGAGAGTAAGTGGCGCACTCTGCACCCTATCACTTTCATGAGCCTCTTCTGCACATTCAGCACAACGCATCATTTTCACGGGCCTCTTCTTCACACTCTACACATCACTTTCATTAACCTCTTCTTTATACTCTACACCCCATCATTTTCAATAACCTCTTCTTCACACTCTGCACACCACATCACTTTCACGAGCCTCTTACTCACACTGCTCACCATGACGGTGAATGCTGCACCGGCGCCTTTCACCAGCACTTCTGTTCCTCTTTTCATTCAGTCGAGCTTCCTAACGCCTTTGATTGCTTCCTACAAGAAGCGCGCCAGACAATTGACTGAAATTCTATATTTTTACAACACTTCTCTTTAACTTCACTTCTTGTCTGTCTGTTTGTTTGTTTGTCTGTCTGTCTGCTACAAATCTTGTAATCAAAATTTAATACACTTCTACTTATCCTATCGATCTGAAATTTTGCACACTTGTGTAAAGTTGGAGACAATGCAAGAATCAAATGTCAAAATACATGATTTAGAAAATTGAAAAAAATTTTCAATATTAAAAAAATTGAAAAAATAATTTTGTCAGCTACAAATCTTATAACTGATATTTGACACACTTTTACCTGTCTAATTGATCTGAAATTTTGCATACTTGTGTGAAGTCAGAGGCAATGCATGAATCAATAAATAGAATAATTAATTTTGAAAAAAAATTATGTATGAAAAAAATTTATATATTAAAAAACTTGAAAAACTAATTGTTTTAATTCGAAAATTAAATGAAAAATTCATTGTACATCTGTAAGATTGGAGACACTGGAATCTTTGGAAGTGTTGTCTTTAAAAAGTAATTTTTAAACGCATATTATTTTTTAATTATACTCAATTTCACGATTGAATTTTCACCAGTCCACTTTTCTTTAGTTGCCTTTTAACAAATACTTTGGGACAGAATCTCTTACAGGAAGTATAGGAGTGTCACTATTTGGACAATATGACGCCTTTCTTTCTCTTAGTGGGAGATCAGTACGGGGGCGTGCCGGTGCTTGAATCAATGTCTATAGTCATGCCAGGAGTTCTAATACTTATTAAGTATCAAAGTTATTAAGTATTGATATAATTTACCCCCTGGGGTAAATTACCCCCCTCCTCATTGATTTGTGGGCAATGAAAGAAGTTCGAAAACTGATATGTGATAAGTATTTAAGCTGCTCTAATACAAATTTCGGAAATTTTAGCGCAAACATATTTATTGTGGCTACTTGAATTGGGCGCTAAAGGGAAAAATTGTTGCTGAAATTGATTCGCTATTAGCGTTCTAATAACGATGATGTGAAATTGTTTATTCCATTTCATAACCGTGGGACATTATTAAAAATTGACATTGGAAACGATATCAAGAAAGTATAATCAAGTATCAAAGTTATTAATTAAAGTATCAAAGTTATTAGGTAAAGTATCAAAGTTATTAAGTAAATTATGAAAGTTATTAGGTCAAGTATCAAAGTTATTAGGTAAAGTATCAAAGTTATTAGGTAAAGTATCAAATTTATTAGTCAAAGTATCAAAGTTATTAGGTAAATTATCAAAGTTATTAAGTATTGATATTAAAGATTGTTTTCACCCCTCGTCAGGCGTGGTCACGGGCAACACTCTGGAGGCGACTCAGTTTTTCAGCGCGTGATGAGCGACACTCGCTGTTGGTGGCCGCTCTTATTCACCGTACTCACGGTTGTCTACGTCATTCGTATCTTCTGCTGCTTTATTTCTTTCATTGCTTCCATTCATATCTTCTGCTGCTTAATTGTCTTGCCCTTTAGTGTAGGCAGTCATAAATTATTCAGATAACTCATCAATAATATAATACATATACGACAACGTCTCGTGTTCGTCATTAGCCTTGCTATTGTCTGGTTATCGCCACAAGCTGCTAAGATGATGACGTGTACATTAGAGAATTGTCATCTGAATTTAAATATTCACCAGCGATATTTTCCTGATGTTATAATAAGAGCGTCAACATTTGCACCAGCATCAGTGCTTGTGTCGTCTCGTTTGACGGTAAAAAGTTAATCCTGGTATGTGATTTGAACGTTACATTCGGCACGAAATCTCACGATTCAGTTGAAATACAGGCGGTTAGTGTCTCTTCAGTGAATAATTAAACTAACTCGATGAAAGTAAATATTTAGACGCTTCTGAATGTATAAAAATGTCTGAGTAGGTATATATTTTTATATAATTCACAAAATATATTTTTTTGAGATTTGCATAATTTGAAAATAACTAATTGACTTTCGTATTTAGAACATGAAACTTATTTTGTAAATTCATCTTTTTTACCATTAATGGAAAATCATCTTAGTTGCTAATTTAAATTTCAGTTTTATAGACAAATTATTGTTCATTGGACGGCGCTTGAAAGGTGTTAGTCTTAACCCTCACCACGCATTACTGCTGTTTTTCGTGCACTTGACATTTTAATTTCATTTTTATTGTAGTTCGACAACGCCAACTACGGTAATGAGAGTACACTAATCGTTCGACTTCGCCTGCGTATAGTCCAAACGTTCTCACGGCCGAGGAACGATGAGAAGTTCCGCTAGTCGGTACGGGCACGGTGACCTAGGACCTGATAACTAAAAATCATGGTTGAACTATGTAAGCTGGCCCACGAGAAGTTCCGTCTTTCAGTTCAGCTTTCTTGTTACGTCACGTAGATCGAGAAACGTAACCAAACCCGTCATTCCCCTGACGGATTGGTTGACTGGTTTGATTGCATTTTGGTTATTGGTTGATGCCCGTGACGTCACTGAGATCAGTGACGTCACAGGCAAAAAACAAGCTCCATCCGCGAAAATGAGCTTCTCATGGGTCAACCTTATACTAGTTCAACCATGACTAAAAATAGTGGAAGATGTACGTTGCACTAGCACAGAAAAGTGGATGTTAATATCGTTAGATAAAGTGCAAGCTTATGAATGTGACGAAATAAGCCTACGGTCTGAATTATTTGAGCTATGAACTTTTATTCAGCAATTCTTATCTGGAAATATAAACCCGGAAACGTAGATTTTTTTTAAATTTAAATTCTGAATTCGAGATTTAAAAATGTAAACATAGCGATTCTCATGTATAAACTTCTATTTCAATTTTTATTAAGCAGCCCCAGAAGCAATATGATAGAACCCGTTGAATTCTAGAAAATTCGAAACTCCAGACATGCGAAAAATGACTCGATAATTACAAACAAAAATATCTGTTAACTGATGGGCTACTTGACCGGTCGATACGAGCTTACTGTTCACTGCGCTACCAACAGCTGACTACTGAGGCCTTTAAAATAAATAATGAAGAAATTCAAACGACTACTAGCCTGATCGACCGATACATCCCTCGACCTTCCGCCAGTTAACATCATTGTTGAACTAATATTATACTGTTTATACATATTGTTAGTTCAACCACGTTTGACACCCTCCACGTCCGCCATGTAACCCCATGGCTGTCACGGCGACTTGTGATGTGGAGTCAAGTCACATCTCCCGCGGTGTTGTTACCGGAAGCGCATACAACCAATTAATTATTTTCTAATGGAAAACAGCAAAGACAGGCTAATTGTCGCCGGTCTTAGAGGCGCTAGTTTTTCGGGCTAATGAAATTAAGATGCTTTAAAAAACAAAGGTATTTTTGATGTAAATAAACACAACTCGAGATTATCAGCAGAATTTATCTAAGTCACGTATCGTAACTTACCTAGCCACGCACACAAAAAATGCATATGGTACAAATGAACTCGAAGCTGTAGGACTAACTGGACTGCAAGTTATGTATAAGGGCAGGCGCTCAAGATCCCGACCAACTGTTGAGGGGCAGATGCCGAACTTGAAGCCAACCGGCCTGTAATCGACATCATCATCAATTGCTAGCGGCAATGTTGAAGATATGAAGGAATAAAAAAATCATCTCGCCTTAGAAGCAAGGCACACATCGTTATTGTACGACGAACAAATTTGAATGACCAATCATTCCAATGCAGCATATTGCCAGACAAAATTGATGAAGATGTCATGTATGGCATTGGACTTCATAGCATATTATGAAATTACATAGTTGGCATGAATCTTGTCAAAAATGCTCTCATGATATAAGAAGGAATCTGCATCACATATATCTTAACTTTCGGCGATCGTTATATGACACAATTAAACTTCTTCTCATCGCAGCCATAAATATGTAACGTTGACATCTCTAACTACACGTTTAATCGTGTCCAGGGTTAAGTAATTTAGCAGGAACTTCTCTCGGCGAAGAGCGCACGAAAAATTGATCCAGGCCTCTTCGATAGGTACGCTACCGCGTTGGATAAAAGTTCCATGGAGCGGTCTTCGGAAGCCTTGACGTTGCCATCAAGGTTCATTGCGGGAACCTTGCGCCTTGTATTAAACTCCTCGACTGCTACAGAATGTTGGATCGGTCACGTTGTGCAGACATCGACACTCAAACTTTCCGACAGCTCGTTCACAGAACTGGCGTTGCACTATATGTAGTCGGATGATTGGTTTGTGTAGGGAGGAGAAGAGAAGGTCGTTGATCAGCATCCCGTGGAGGCTTTGGTGAAGTCCAGTGCGGTGAAGATAGTTCGGTGAGTGAGTCTTCTTTGGTCGGGTCCGTAAATGATATCGGTGGTTAGTAGGATGAGGGTGGTTGTGGTGGTTAGTAGGATGAGGGTGGTAGTGGAGGTGAGTAGGATGAGGGTGGTTGTGGTGGTGAGCAGGATGAGGGTGGTTGTGGTCGCGTGACCGGGAAGGTGGGTGGCCAGCGGCCGGTGTTCAGTGATGATGGACAGCAGACACCGTCCCAGGACTTTGATGGCGGAGAAAACCTGCGAAATTTGTCAGTAGGATTAGGCTTTGCTTTAGGGTTTTCTGGAATGGAGCAGTTGTATAATTTTAGAGGACTTGAAGGAATCAGGAACACGGTTGTTCGTCAAATGATTGTTCAGGACCTATCGTTCATTTCCATTTCGCATTACCTTGGAATCACCTGGAAAATATCCGAAATTTTCCTGAAAATCGCTACTCGAAAAGTTATTTGCATTTATAACAACAATAAGTAGCTCTCATCTGTAGCTTTACCAATCGGGCACGCATTTTATTCTACTGAAGCGATCCGCGGGGTGAAGCTCTCTGGCAAGCAGACCCGAACTGAGGTTCGTCAGTCCGCCAGTCGTCAGTGGCCAAGGCGCTGTCCTGGTGGAAGGTTAAGGCGTGAGTGCTGTCACCGAGATGATCTTGGCCAAGCTAATACCAACAAGTTTTAATTAACGTGTTTGGAGTGGACGAAGTGCTTACAGAGAAACATGTATATTTTCTGTTTTATAAGTGAGTGCTACACGTTGCCGAGTGAACTGTCCGTGAGATCTAGCGACTCGCTGCCCCTACCCCTGGAATTGTGAGTGTCTCTGGAATTTATTTAAGCTTTTTGACGTAATTTAATTTGGATTTTTTTTAAATAATTTAGAGGTGATAGTGACCTTAACACAGTAATGGTGTATTGACACCATAACCACCAGGTTATCTCGAGTAACCATTTCAAGTAACCATTTTCTTCCTGGATGGAAGGGCGTCAGATGGAAACTATCGGGATTATCTCTAGTCTGTTATTGAACGTCATGAAGAATATCCGGCGCGAAATATCCATCGTATGGTGGAAGATTGATGGATAGTATATGTATTGTAAAACGTGGCGGCATCTGTCATGGATATGATATGAGAATGTCTGTGTAGTTGAGAGAGTGTACGGCAGTCGAGAGAAAGAGAGCGAGCCTGAGCGCTCTATCGACCAGAGAGCGAGGGTAGCGAGGGGCTCAGAGGGGAGGGAGGGGAGAGCGCTTCCCTCAAGTGAGGGTAGGAGGTACTGAGATGAAACCAAACCAATCGACTACTTCATCCTGAACGTCTAATGTCCTCTGTTGTTATACCAGCCGCGTTAACCTGCAAAACGAGTGCTTTAATTAACGCGTGTGTAATAACGTGTGTGCACTGCCAGACGCACGCGCGAAGATCTTCCGGGAATTTGTCGTCTTGACTTGTTAACATTATTATTTATTATTATTATCTCCTGTAATGTTTTTTTAAGAATAATTGCAGCAATTCATGAAAATCTATCCAAAACATTATCACTGCGTCACGAATTTAGCGACCACCGTAACAAAGACGATAACGTCGAATAATTAAATAACTTAAGGAGTTATTTAATAATACTTCATAATATTTAATTCATTGAATGATATTACTGCACCATCGATGTCGTTAAGGTATTTCACTTTTTATTTTACAAACCTGACTCTCTATCAAGTCTGATCCTCAAAGTTCGCAGAAAGTATGACAAGGGTTCGTGCTTTCTTTCCCTTGCATTATATCTTTCCCGGCTGCTCAAGGACAGTCAGAGGAGATGGAGGACAAGTAATTAGTAGGAATGATGTCCGTAGATTAAGGCCTGTAAATAATGTAGGGAGTAACCGCATACATCAAAGTGAAAGCTGTCTCTTATACACATNGGTCTAGGTATATAACATCACATCCCTCATGTTTAACATCGTTCATGTTATCATCAGGTCTAGGTATATAACATCACATCCCTCATGTTTAACATCGTTCATGTCACCAACATTTCCAGGTATATAACATCACATACCTCAGGCGTAACATCGCCCATTTCACCATGTGCAGGTATATAAGGTGTGAGGAGGTATGCGTGGAACTCGAATGAACATTTCTACGAACCCGAATGAATATTTCTACGCGTATATTTAACTTGAGCTGGACTTCTAACAAAGTATTTACGAATCTGGCAATATTTTTTTCAATGGCAATGT